ACTATATGTGTATATATATTTAGCCTTGTTTACTATATTTTTGTACTAGTCTTTCTGTTCTGTTGAAGTAAGTTACCATTTTTACATATTATGTTTACATGTTGATGTGAGACTGGGTTGTAAAAATGAAATCCTTCAAGAAAGGAGGATGCCAACTGTGTATAGCAATCTTCTAAACTTGTAGATATTATATCTGCAAGTCTTCAGCTGTCATAATTAAACTGTGTTCTACTTAGAATGAGGTTAGAGGAATTAATTTTATGCATACATTTTAAGTGTATCTCAACTACTTCTCATTTTGAAACATTTGATTACTACTATCTTATATTTCGTGCATATTTTACTCGTAGCAATACAAATTCAAGCAGTAGGTGTATAAATTTAAACTATAAAACTGTATGAATTTTCATAATTTTTTATATTGTAATGCAAAGTTTATTATTAAATATGTAAAGTGATTTAGCCTTTAACAGTAGTTTTTTGAATAATTTGAATTTCATGGTTAATAAATAATTCCTTTCATGAAGGGATGTTCATTATATAGAGTCTAATGTTAGCATTTATTTTCATTCTCAACTGTAAGTGCAAAAGGTATATATTTTGAAAATTTGAGAATAATATTTATAACCGAACAAACTTTTATTATTATGATGTGATGGTCTCTAGTGGGAAACTTTTAATGTGAAATAAATTGCCATAAGCTCATTAAACATGGTGCTACATTTTTTAAATATAATGTTCATACAATAACTATGATGAGGTTTCTTCTTTTCAACCTCATTGCATTAGATAATCCTTCATGACAGGTTACATAAGATTTATCCCTAAATAATTGCTCAAAATGTTTAGATCTGTTACCTTTACTACCAATAATGTAGTTGATTTTAATTATATGTAATAAAAGAAAAATTTGTACACTTTTATGAAGAAAGATTACATATATGTAGAATAGCACTTCCTTCATTCAGCAGTTGGTATGTACCTGTTAACTGTATTACATATTTCCTTCCTGAATTTGTTTAGAAATGTGAAGGATAAGAAGTAATGTTCAATGTGTATTTAATGCAAACAGCTTGTATGAGTTATAATGTTCCAGAATACGAAATAGTTTTTGTTGGCAGCCATCCTATTTACCTGCATAATTGTGGATGTAAGAATCTGTAAGTCTGCTACTTGAAAAAAGTGTATCGTTTAATTTAATACCACACTATTGCAATATAAACTTCCTGGCTGCTGGCTAAAAGGCATCTCAGAGCATTTCTTTCTTCTGTGTTTGGTCTGTCAACAGTGACAATCATTGTTACAGATGGTTAGTGAATTTGCAAACATTTTATTATTTGGCATGTTCCTTTTACTTCAGTTATCTTGGTTGTGAGATGACTGCTATAATTGTCATATTTCATTATTTGGTAGTTGCATCTTTCATATTTTGAGAAAGGAACACATCCATTTTTGTTTTGTAAAGAGTAACATTTGTATGGTACTTGTTGAATAAAAACATCATAACAAATATTCCATCAGCTCTTTGCCATAATTTGTCTTTACTATGCTGGACAATAATGTGCCATAATTATGCTTTATTATACTGTGCAGTACAATGAAGACAAATTGTGGTGCCATTAAAATAATTATTACTGCATATCTAATAATTTTCATACTGCTTGCAATAGAGTCTTGATTATCTGACTGTTGGCTATCTAACGTTCTGTTTAATCTGATGTGCTGCATCAGAACACTCCATTTTGTAGTGGAATGAATTGCACTGCTCCACAACGAATTTTCTACATTTTATGTAATCAGTTTATACAGATGTATACTGTTCAGGTGCTGGCATGACCTTGCCAGAAAGAAAAGGAAGGAGGCTCAGAAGCAAATACCCATTACTAATTTCATAAAAAATGGTCACAGTGGTCATGCAGTCTGAGGCATGGGTTTCATGTGCTTGGACACTGACCGTGGGTTCGAATCCCACCCAAGGCATGCATGTTTTTCTGTGTTGTGCTGTCCTTTGCGATGGGCTGATCACCCATCCAAGGAATCTTGCCAAATGTCTTACAGATAAAAAAAACCTCCACCTCCACGTGGAGCAAAAATGGTATAAGAAGAATTTTATAAAAAAGTGAACCTTATAATTTATAGTATGTAATTACTATTTTTGTTTGTGAGATTTTTTATTTGATGCCATTGTATTTTGTTCGTAATCTAATAATACTGTAAATTGAGTTATACATTTAATTAATATTTACCCTCATCTTTTTCATTAGTCTTCTGTGTTATCCAAAAAAATTTATTATCCAGCCATCTTTTGGTCCTATGTACTGTATTATCCCCTATCTATTTGTGTACAAATGTATACCTATATCCTTTGAAACTGTTAAGATGTTTAATGGAAGGGAAATATTTTAATCAATTTATTGAATGATTCAGGGATTTGGTTTTAAAACATCACTGTACAGCCCTCAGTTTTGCAGATATGTTACAATGGAGCAGTTTTGGTTCTTCAGTTGTGTAGCATAGCCATCTTAACAGTGATGTTGACATAAAATAAATTGAAACCTCTGGAAAGTCTAAAAAGTAGTCTTCAATTAATCTGACTGTACTTTTATGTGAATCTTTGTTTATTGAGTAATTACTCAATTCTCCTTGATCATGGCTTATGTTTATTGTACTTTTGGTTGATATATCTATCATGAAGAGACATTATATGATGTTGAACATGAAAGTGTTACGTATGCTGTTTGAACAACATTTTACTGTTTATGTGTGTGGGAACAGTTCTAAAGAGGTTTAATACTCCTTGTGTAATATTGAATGTTTACCCATACTATCGGTGAAGGAACAGAATTAGCATCAACAGTTAATTCACAAATATTTATATAACAAAAGAGAAGAAACAAACACACCAACATTACAATATCAGAATGTGTCCAGTCATTTTAATTTAAAGAAGGTGTAAGATGTAAAATATATTTAGGTACAGATGAACTGAGTTTGAATTGAATTGTCATCACAATTTTAATAATATGTTGGCTTAAATTTAAAAAAAATATATAAACAGTTATTTTCCACTATCATCTACTCTCTAATCCAGTGGTATTCAACCTTTTTTGTTCGCGTACCCCCAGATATAATTTCTCTTCAACTTTGTACCCTCAAAGTTATGCATAGTATATAATCTACATCTAAAATAAATTAAATAAATCACATTACTGATTATTCAGTGTTTATCATAAAATAATATATATTAAATTTCAGAAGAGATGGACAGAAAATACAAGACCGTAACAGGCCTCGTGGCCTAATACGGGAAAGGATGATGATGATGAAATTTCACGTACCTCCTAAGATGTCTTCGCATGGTTGTGAAAAATTTGAGTTGGGTATGGTCTGTACTTTATGATTGTAATGTAAGAATAAGCCATGCCACTTGATTGATTAGTATTTATTTTCATTTTAGACCATGCCACTCAGTTAAATACCATCATGCCAAATAGTGACAGTTTAAAGTTTTTAATCAGAATATAGACAGAGTTTAAGTTGAGTGGGTTCTGATGCTGTCACACCTGTTGAGGCAGGGCTGATTGTGAGCTATGCCCCACACAGGTATGAGTTATTTAACTCATACCTAATTAATGGTTTGTAAATGGTAATGTTTTATCAGGAATTCAAGAACTTCAATGTGTGCATGATCTTCAAATTTTATGATAAATTTACCATCATTTCGGTCAGTTTCTTACCGGTTGATGAGAGATAATGTCATTGATTTGAGGAATCACATTGTCTTTGGCATATTTTTATCCAACTCTAGTGTGTTGAATTCAGTGTGTTTCTACTTCTGAGGTTCTTCCTTCCCCTGCAGTAGGCATGATCTCTGAAACAATTTGTGTGCTTTTTAAAAAAAAGTGGTTCCTCAGTGGCTGTGTTCATTGTCACAGTCATCATTGGTACCAGTGGAACAGTTTATTGTTTTCAGTCTCACCACCACTCTGCTCGAATTTATGATATAAAACAGAGACCTTGGGGGCAAACTTTCTATCTGAAATAATGTCCTTTGTTAAGGACCTAATCTCTGAACAAATGAAATGTTTGATTTTACATTTCTGCCAAGAATGATGTTATTCAGAATGTTATGTTGTTGGGTCATGTTAGGTTGCCTGTTTTGTACATCAATTTCACAGTGACATTTTGACTTGAGGGACTTCCTGTGTTGGGCCTGAGGGCTGTAACATATGCATGGTATAAGGAGGTAGTTCTGTCCGCTACATACTGTCTTTTCAGAATTCAATAGTTTTATGAGTTTTGTGGTATTATTGTTATCCTGAAATAGCAACACTTTGCCTTTCAGGAAGTGTTCTAACCGATCCAGAAGTAGATCTTCATTGATCCACCTGGATTAAGTTACAATAATGCTGTGCAGATAGAGGTAATTAAAAATTAAATGGAGCAAGTATTGACTATTGGGTAGTTTCGGTTGGGCCTGTGATTTGCATGCGTAAAGGACAAGACAAAGATTGGAATATGTGACAGACTTTTGAGGATGTGGGCTGCAAAAAATGTGTGGAAATTAAGAGATTGGCGCAAGATAGGCGAAAATGGAGGACCACACCAAACCAGTCGAAAGACTGATGACAAACAAACAAAAAGGATAGCTTGTAATGGCATCAGAATTACCCCACCTGACGACTTTAAGCAACCACCACTTTGGTATTACCGGTCATAGAAAACTAAAAATATGTGCCGTCCCATAGCATAACATTTATACAAAGTTTGATTAAAATCCGTTTAGCCATTCTCTATATCTTTCATGAGATAAGTATGCACAAGTTATATTGGGTAGTGGCGTCGCCATCGTCCCAACTCTCAATTTTGAGCATCCGTCATTTTTGTATAATGGTTTGTACGAAAGTAGATAGTGTGAATTCTAGACCAAAAATCTGTCCTGCCTCTCTGTGTTCAATACACGCATCGCAGGACGAGCATATGTAGTGGATTTTAGGATGAATAATCTGTGATGCGTAGGTTTTCAATGATTGTAATCTTTGGTGAAAAGATATTTATTTTGTTTAGCTGCTTAATGTAGTGCAGATTGATAAATTGTCTTCTTGCAATGACACAGAACGTTTATATACGTTTAGCAAGCCAGAGGGTTGATAATACTATAGTTGCTGCTTCAAATATTCCTCGGCTTTATACGCCAGGTGAAATAATAACATGCATGTCTGGTTTTATGAGGTAGGTTGCAGGTTAAAATATTGTAATAATCTTTAATTTGTCCGAGTAAACGCTTCGGCCACCACACATTATAGTTGTGGTGTATTGGTGAGTGTATAATGATAATTTTCAAGTGAAAATTATTATGACTTCGGAGTTTGTGGTCGATGGGATCTGGAAATCTTTTTTAAATGATGGAAATTAAATACAAAACCATATAGAGAAATACCACTTTGGAACTTGAAGAAGGTTGTGGACTCTATGAGCTTTTCATAGACTCTGTCAGCATGTTTTTATGACGATCCTTTGAGTTAAATAATAACTGGAGTATTTGAACTGTGAATATTTATTGAGTCCTCACAAAGCCAACATGAGATCATAATTTAAAACAAATATAAATTATTTTAGATGTGTTTTCAGCACACCTTCATTAACATTTGAGGTTCATGTCTTAATTCTGTGACATTACAAGCATATCTTTATAAACTTCATCTGTCAGTGTTAAATTAATTATCATACTTCAGTATTCATTAAATTGCAACTGCCTGAACTTATAAATGGTTTATTAATAGTGTTAGTGAATGTTAGAACATGCTTAATTGTGTCCATATTCAATGAAGAATGTATGATATCTGCAAATTTACACTGGGCTTTGCTTATGACAGAAGCAACACACTTCCCTGCATTAGCACTGAAGAAACATCAAATATTTATGTCTGGCAGTGGGTTTCACATCCCTGCCAACATATTTAATGGGTTGAAGTTATTTTACCAAGGCAGCTTGCTACAGTTTGGACAAAAAAGTGGAAGTTGTTATAGATAATTAATTTATAATTTCAGGGGGCATGGAACCTATATGGAAGAGGATGCTCTTACTGCCTCAGTAGCAGGAGTAGTTGAGCAAGTTAATAAACTCATTTCAGTGAGACCCATAAAGAATCGTTATAATGGCGAGGTTGGTGATGTGATTGTGGGTAGAATTACAGAAGTTCAGCAGAAACGCTGGAAAGTAGATACCAATTCTAGACTGGATTCTGTTTTACTTTTATCATCTGTCAACTTGCCAGGAGGAGAACTGGTAAACATTTTTTGGATGTTTGTTAATGAAACTTACATGGAAATATCTTTTGAGTAAATTCATTATTATCTTTCCTTTTCATTTTCAGCGAAGAAGATCTGTGGAGGATGAGCATATGATGAGGAAGTACCTTAAAGAAGGTGACTTGATTAGTGCTGAGGTTCAGAAAGTGTATGATGATGGTTCCTTGTCACTATACACAAGAAGTTTGAAGTATGGGAAGGTAATTTTTAATCCTGTTTTTTCATATGCTAAATCTGGAGAGACTGTAATTGTCTTTTCTGTTTACGTTTATTTTCTCAACGTACTTAAACCTTCTCATTCACTTATCTTACCTTCCCATAGCCTTGCAGTGCAAGATTCACATGGCGTTATGCTTCACAAATGTAATTGTAGGATTGATTCCTGCTTGATGATGTGTTTATGTTTCCATTGTTGTTCTGTGACATTTGAGCCTTGCAATGGTCTGACCCACCCTCCATTAAATTTTTTCTATTGCCTAAACCACTGGAAGAGAGGAGGCTCTGACCAGAATTAAGTGAAAATAAATTCGTGGAGTTTTGCACTTGCGTTGGTATATCATCAACGTTTAAATCATGACATTTGTTTTCTATTTTTGCTGTATGGGTATTAATTTTAATTAATTTCAGTTGGGAAGGCTCGATATGTCAGGGAATATTGATATATTGTAGACCATAACATTTTGATACAATTATGATTTTCATATAGTTGGTATATGATCTTGTTGATTGAAACCCTCCACTTCAACTTTGGCTTTGCAGTATGGTAGTAGACCCTCCTCTGACTTCCTGGCTAAAACATTAGTTGTTGACACTCCACTGTTTCTTTGTAACATACCTTTCTATTTTTCACTTTCTTCACTATTATTTCCTCATAAGAGGAGGGTGCACTCTCTTTGTATGCTCAGTTGGTAAATAATTCCATTGTTATTTGACTAATGCAATACAAGGTAACTTAGCAATATTGCAACAGATGGAAAAAGTGGGCACATAGTATAAATTGGTAATGATCCAAATTTTAGTTTAGGCTTAATTTAATTTTATATGCCTTCAGTTTGAAAATATGTAATATAGTGAATATATCATAGTCTCAGCAAGCAAGTAAGCTTTTCTGTATCTGCTGTATTTTCTTCCAGCTGTGTCAGGGTGTTTTGGTGAAAGTATTTCCTTCTTTGGTGAAGCGTTGCAAGAATCATTTCCACAACTTGCCATGTGGAGCAAGCATCATAATTGGTAATAATGGGTTTATCTGGATTTGTCCAACTATCAATGATAGAGGTGAGGATGGTTTAGGAGGTTTCACAGAGAATCTCAAAGAGGTAAGAGATACATTTAGTTGATGTCTTACTTATAGTCTTTATATTTTCAGGCTAATGTTAGTCATGTTTTGTATAATTATAAAATGGAGTTACAGTTGTGAAGCATATGGCTTTTGCTTGTTAGATTTTACCCTGTATTTTCAACTGATTGAAATGATCTGAATGTAAATTTGATTGATAATAATGAAGGCTTCTGTAGGTACCATTATAAACAAGGCAATCTTGGTTACACCTCATAGAGTCTCCTTTCCTATTGTATGCTCTACCAATCTTTCAAATTTTGTGTTAATGTCAAAATCTTCCTTGCAGTTTCCCCGTCTGAATGTAGTTTCTCTGCTGTCGTTTTTACATGTACTCATTTGTAAGAACAAACCAATTTCCACACTTTTTCCACATTTTCATCTATCTGGTGAGTTTTTAGAATCCATTTCTTTTGTTGTCCTTTCACATATTCCGATCCGTCTTTAAACCTTTTGTGCCATTCAAAGACACTCAACTTTGTCATACCATCAGCACCATGAGCCTCTGTTAACATCTGTAGAGTTTCACTCATGCTTTTGCCTAACTTTGCAAAAAACTTGATGTTAATGCATTGCTCCAGCAGCGTATCTCTCTCTCTCTCTGTTTTTTGCCAGGACAGAAACACTTCATTTGTTGTAACTCTGTCACTGTTTAGTTATTGCTCACTCGCTACTCGATGTGACACATATGCGGGCATTCCAGGAACTTAATTGTCTCAACTCATACACTGGAGCACTGTTGTAGGAAGTTTCCGATGGTATCAAAATATCTGATGTTTATAATATTAGGAACTGCAGTAAGGTGTGAAATATTAATAAGGCCAACATGTTTTTTAAAACTGTTTTCAGATATTTTGATTATGCCTAGTAGAATGTATGTCTTGATTGGGATATGTGGTACTGGAAAAATTACATTGAATGAGGAGGGAGAGAAATGTAGAAGTGGAATTAATTCCTAGATTACAATGACAACTTCTTGTTGAATTAGTAATATTCATGGTTTTCTCAGGTTGTTCCACGTGCAGACAGAGAGGTAATTGCGCGCTTACGGAATTGTGTCCTTGCTCTTGCAAGCTGCAAGATGATGTTATTTGATACAAGCATCTTATATTCATTTGAAGAGTCTTTGAAATATGAGGTAAGTTACTACATGGATTACAGTAATTATAAGAATTTATTGTCACTTCTTAACAGAGATTACAGTCAGAGCTTTCAGTAACTTAGTATAGTTTAAAGTTTCACCTATTTTTAATGTTATTGGTCCAGAGTTAGAGACTGAACTATATTTTATGTTTATTAAGTGTTCTTTACACTTTAGCACAAGTAATGAACACCTTATTGGCCCACGTCTTTCATCACACTGTTACAACATTGACCTTGGACTGTATTGTTTCAACAGTGTTGTCAGATACAATTTTTACCTTTGATAACATCATTGCATTTGAGTATCAAATCTAAAACTTCTTGATGATGGTGAAGAGTCAATTGAATAACTAGACGATGGATAATATCCAAGAACATTTTTATTCAATTGCATTTGAGGTTCCTATGGTTGCCCAGCTGACCTCATTACCCATGATGTGGTGTGAAGAAGACCTTTGAAATGTTAGTTTGTTTCAAAGAGTGCATCTTTCCCGTTTTATTATTGTTGTTGTTGAAAGGAAAATTGATGGCTTCTTCTTCCTTGGCTGTACAACCCAGTTGCGGGTTTTTGCCGCCTCATTTTTGGAGGTTTCCTAATCTTTGAAGCATGCATCTGTGAGTAGTGAGTGACCAGCCTGCTGCCTCTGCACAATTTCTACTCAGTCCTTATTTGACTGCTATAGCCATCTAGTAGTGAATCAGGAGAGACTTGGTTGAGCAATGGCTGCTGAATTTTGCTTACAAAACATCTCATTTCATGCTCGTGCTGCATGCCGTAAATCTACGACATGAGACCACTGGCTTTACTTCCCCTCCGAAGGAAGTTGTGCTACGGATTTATATCACCCTCAAAAATCCATCATCCTTAGCTGGGTTTGAACCCGCGAACCTTGGGTCCAGTGGCGATCACACTAACCACTAGTCCACCAAGGGCAACTCATAATGTGATTCCTGCCCTTATATTATTATGAGTACCTTTTCTTGTCATTTTATTCTAGGTATCAGAATTGCTTAGACCTGAGCCAATGCTGGATGTTTGTGTTTTGACACAACACAGACTGTACATGCAGGAGGATGAGTGATTTAAAATAATATTCTGAATACATGCTCTTCACACATATGTTTTTACATTACCTTATCTTAATAAAATTGACTACATTGTTGAAGACAAGTTGGAAGCATGTTAGAAACTGTGTAACATGTTGTGGTGGAGTTGTTTGATAAATTCAGTGGTAGATTTTATGGTTGTTGTGGTCTTTGGTTCAGCACAGAGGTTTGTGTCATGTCATGGTTTGTGTTGAATAAGTTGGAAATACAAAGTATGAAAGGAGCCTTGGTTGTCTCTGTTTTAACTGTTACATATTAGAACCTGTCATATGATAATTCATATACCTCAGTCTGATCAGAATGAATTGTATTTAATTTCTAGCAAAGTTTTCTTAAAGCAATTTATCATGACAGTATTATCAGTAGAAAGTATGGCATGGCCAGTGGACCAAAAACCTTAGAAATTATGTGAAC